AACCGGGCAATAATATTTTTTTTGACAATTTTTTTCTTCTATAGATTATTAATATATCTAAAATCTGAAGGGTTTTTTAAATTAGGTCTTTTTTTATATTTAGAAGACGTTTCTTCTTCACCATTTATTACCAGAATATTGTATCCATACAGACAGCGGAGCAATAATCTGACATACAAAAGATCAATCTCACAAGAAAAATATGATTTACCTACAAATATTAAAATATATTTTAAAAACAATTTGCCAACGTTATGACCAAAACTTTAACTTTATTCTAGTTTTAAAAACACTTTAGAATTCCTAAGATATCTAAAAAGAAAAATAAAAATAAAATTTCTATATTTTACCTTATTATTATAAATTTTACCAGATTTCTTAAAAACCTTTATATAAATTTTATTTTTTCGTGATTTTTTTTGGAGTGAAGTGGCCATAAAAAATACAAATAAAAAAGTAGGGTCATCTGACCATATAATGCATATAGGTATGTATATGGTCATACCCTATTTATTAATTTATTCGTAATTTCTTTATTTAATTAAATTTTTATGTCCTTTGGAACATAAAATCTTACTATTTGTATTTTGAAAAAATATTCAATCTTTATATTTGAACAGCTTATTACAGAAAGGGACCTGAGTCAGTTTTTTGTTATTTTTTGTTAAGAGTGGATTCATTCACTATGATGGGAGACACATTGTTTGTAGTAGAAAGGGACCCGATATATTTTATTATAACAGAGAAATCGTATGGCGTACTTTTTGTTTACTACAGAAAAGAACACAAGTCACAAGTCAACGACTGAGGTACTTTTCAGCAATAAAGAGGTAAGTTGCAAACCTGCATCTAGTCTACTCCAGGTACTCCAGCTAATGTTATTGTTGTTTGAGATTATGTCCATCAATAATAGTCAATAATTTGAAGCTATCATTTATTGTGTGAATAAGATTAATATTAAAAATTTTGATATTACAATAACCTATACATTTTAGGAAATGGCAGATATGCATTTAACTTTGAGTAAGTTGGATCAGATTAAATTATGATTTCAATAAACTATCGGGAATACTGTAGGTGAATGTCAAGGAAATAGTGCAGCAGCCGTAAGGCGTTATGCAGTAAAATATCCCAATCGAAATACACCTGATAGACGATTATTTCTGATCATTGATCGTCGTTTACGGGAAACGGATACATTCCAACCGCAAGTTGCTGGCAATAGTGGTCTTCCAGTAATGGATGCAACTGATGAAGACATTTTAGAAATCATTAAAGAAGATCCTGCAACAAGTACAAGGGTAATAGCTGCTTAACTAAATGTTCCCCACGTAAGGGTTTGGAGGCGTTTGAAGGATCAGCTGCTTAAACACTATCACTTAACAACGATTTAAGAGTTATTGGTTGAAGATTATCCCAAAAGGATTGGATTTTGCGATTGGTTGTTAATGAAAAACACTCGAAATGTTAATTTTATTAGAAATATTTTGTTTACCGACGAGACTACCTTCAGTAGAAATGAAATAAAAAAACCATCAGAACGAGCACATTTGGGCCGACGAAAATCCACACGCCAAAAAAAAAATAAGTCATCACCAAAGGACTTTCAAAGTTAATGTTTGGACAGGAATTATGGATAACAATCTTCATCATCACAGTCATTAACATCTTAGTAGATGTGTTGTGGCTTCAGCAGCTCGGACAGTTTGATTGATAATATTTCTCCACTGGTCGCGGTCATCAGTTATATGTATTGCCTCAGTATACTGTTTATTGAGAAGCTTTTTAGTAATGTCCGCCCATCGCTGTGGAGATCTTCCGCGTTGGCGTTGAGTCTGAGGCCTTCCTTGGACCACCAACCGCCCCATTTTGTGATCACTTCGATGGATATGGCCAAAGAACTTAAAAATTCTAGAGTAAACGGTACTGGAGAGACGCTGATCTGGTTTAATTTTATCCAGAACCGAGATATTTGTACGGCGAGCCGTCCATGGAATTTGAAGCAGGCGTCTCCATGTCCACATTTCAAAGGCGTCTATACGTCGTCGATCTGATTCTTTGACTGTCTATGTCTCGCATGCATAGTAAAATATGGAAAAGACCAGAGTTGAAACAAGTCTCTTTTTGTTTGTCATAGTAATGTGACGATCACGCCAGACCCCGTTTAGTTCACTCATTGCTGCTCTTGCTAGTTGAATGCGTCTTCTAATATCGGATTCACAACTGCCTGTGTTGTTAACTAGAGCTCCAAGATATATCATAGATGAGACTACCTCGCATCCCGCAATAGTTTGGGTTTCAGGAAACTGTTGTTGGCGATCAATAACCATGATTTTGGTTTTGTTGTAGTTAACCATGAGTCCAAATTTAGCACTTTCTACCTCGAGTTTTTTTAATAATCTAGTAATTTCTTCTGGAGTAGAGGCTAGAAGTGTAGTGTCGTCTGCGAAACGAAAGTTAGATATCTTAACACCACCTAGGTTTACTCCTCCCTCCCATCCATCCAAAACTATGCGCATTATGAACTCCGAATAGATGTTAAATAATAAGGGAGATAAAACGCATCCTTGGCGTACTCCCTTCTCCAAAGTGCATTTGTCAGACAGATATCCGTCCATTCGAATATATGCCAGGTTATCTTGATACAGTTTGCTAATAAGGTGAGTCAAGTGTTTAGGTACACCCATTGTCGTCAATATGTTCCATAGTTTGTCCCATCTAACATTATCAAAGGCCTTTGTATAATCGACGAAACATATAAATATCGGGATCTGGTATTCTCTGTCTTTTTCTATGATGTTTCGTACATTAAGGATTTGTTCTCTAGTACCTCTGCCCTTTACAAATCCAGCCTGCTCAGGTGCTATTTGCCAACTTATGAAGTTTTCTAGACGCCGTTGCAGTATGTAGAGGATCACCTTACTGGCGTGTGATATTAGAGCTAATAGCCTGTAGTTGTTACAATTATTTGTTGAACCTGTCTTATGAAGAGGTATGATTATGGTCTTTCTCCAATCCTCAGGCCAGACGCCTGTGTGCCATATTTCATTGCACAATCGATGTAATATTTTCACTCCACATTCCGGAAGATGCTTCATAACAATCTCATAGGCCCAGAATTTCTTTCCAACAATTTAAATGGTAATAATTATTTGCAGTTCTTGGCAAACGATTTACAAGAGTATTTGGAAGAAGTAAATATGGCAATAAGGCAAACTATGGGGTTTCTACAAGATGGCGCTCCACCGCATTACAGTAATGAAGTCCGGGAATACCTTTGCAGGCAGTATCTTGGTCGGTGAATTGGAAGGGGTCGTGACGCACTTATTTCTTGGCCACCCATATGTCCAGGTCTTAACCCCATGGACTTTTGCTTTTGGGAGTTTATGAAAGAGAAAGTGTATTCTGTAACAATAGAGGACGCAAAATATGATTTTGAATAATTTTATTAATAGAGGTAATATTATATTTATAGAGGTTATAGACATTTTTTGTACTTGTTAATTCATTTAAGCCATTTATTTAGTTGCATGTAATTTTTTAAAGGTTACTGAAAAGAGACGTAACCCGTGCGCTTAGATTTTGTTTCTTTTTTATAAAAAATGCTTTCAGAACCGGAAAGTAACGTCTTCATTTTTATTACAAAATGTCAAATAGTTTAGGAGATAATGCAAAAAAACAATTTTTATTTTGTAACTTCAAAGGGCTGTAACTTTTTTATGTAAACGTTTGTACTAAGTTAAGTTGGATTCAGTCAATTTATTTTTGTCTCCGGAATGCGTAATTTATTTTATGACATACTTTTTTGAAACACCCTGTCTACACGATATATCAGCTGTGTGAATTGATTTGCTCTGCTAACAGCAAATCCCAAAATACTGTCAAACTCATTGATTCAGCAAGTATAATTGATTTTGATAAATGGTGGCCTTACGTATACAAAAAGAGAGTCTGTTCAACTGAGAGAGCGAGAATCATTGAAGTATCATTACTTTGAATATTGTTCTGACAACAAGGGTGTTATTCAAACATTGGAGTTTATTCATGCACTTAATACTGACGATATTGTCGCTTACTACTATAGTAATTTCAATGCTAGTAAAGTTGCTACCTCTAAAGAAAAAAAATTGAGGACCTTAAGAAAGCTGTAAAGTACGCTACCCATGAATTTAAAGATTTCTTTGTAGATATTATAAATGTTTCAGATCAGAATAATTAGAGTATAACTATTAATAGTAACTTAGTAGCAATGTTTAGTGTTTTAGCAATATATTTATAGAAATGAACAATATTATTAAATTGGAAATTATTAGTTCTAATCTACTTGTACAGATGTAGTTGACTTAAAACATAATATATCATGGCACAAAACTAAAGATTTTCATATCCAGACAGTTTTTTTTGCAGATTTCTGGAAAGTTAGTTAACATGGCTCGAGTCGTTCCTTTCTGAAATAAGCTGTTCATTTGTGTTTTAGAAAAAATATTAAACATTCAGTTTGTATTGATGTTTTCGGATATATTTTTTGTCATAATTTAGTGTTTGTAACAAATAAATAAATAATATAATGTTTCAGGTTGATGAAACAAGATACCGATTAGTGAACATTGCTTATAAAAGAAAATCACAACCTTGGCAATAAAGATTTCTTATGTACTAAAATCATTTCCAACAAAACAGTCATAAAGCTCTTAACTAGTTATAAAATAGACTTAAATAACAACGAATAGAACTCATAACAATTTTACGAGACCTTTTACTAAATCCATCTGGAACTACTTCATTTTTATTACATAACTAAACCCCAACTCTAATAAATACTTTATATCCTAAATTTATGACATCGATATAAAAATAATTTTAACTCCTTAAATAATTAACAACCCCTCGATCTTTCCTGCGTAGCTTTCTCAACAGTTTTCGGACATAAATATTCAATATGGCGGCGATACATTTTGAGGTCACACTTGGTCAGATGGCGCTGACCTTTCTTCTTTATGCTATTCGCCTCCTAAAGTGAGCGCCTGGACTATTCTGGGATCTGCCTTGCTACCTGAAAATAGTTGATTAATTAACTAATTGAAAGGACTAAACATTAACAAATAAAATACAAATTACATGCGTGTTATTAGACAAACTAAAACTTAATTGACAGTAATGAGATAATAACAAGAAAACTGGAGAATACTGAACGAGTCCACCAAAACTCAATACTTTTGGTATGGTGGGTATCTCGGTTAAGTTAATTTCCCCTTAGAAGGAGTAATAAACTTCAAAGGAGCTATAAAATATAGCTTTAATCTGCTCAATGTTAATAATATTAATAACACATTGTATCAGCGGAAAAATTATACCAGCAACTTAAAAAATGCATTCATGAGGCTGCAAGTGAAGCTTTGGGTTTTAAAAATAAACATGAAACAAAAAAATTAAGAATGGTGGTCGGAGAATATGCAAACGTTAGTCAACAAGAAGAAAACTGCTTATCAGAAATGGATGTCAACGAGAAAGTATAAATGAGATGTGGGATCAAAGATGTGCAGAAGTGGATAGGTATATGGGTGGAACAATATAATATTTTTCAACTTATTATGATGGGTAAAATCGAAGGACGCAGAGGAATTGGTAGAAAGCAGACCTCTTGGTTGAAGAATATCAGTGAGTGGACAGGAATAAAGAAAGCTGAGCAACTATTTAAAATAGCTCGAGACAGAGACAGTTTCGCCATGTTAATCGCCAACGTCAAGGGGACTTGATAGGGCACGTTAAGAAGAAGAAGAAGGCAATTTGAATCTCATATGATTTGTCATTACTTCTCAAGGCCATTCTTTGTTTACTACAGGATCTAAAACTCCTGTATTAACTGGTGGTAGCACTTGCGTATTGGTTATCATGCTCTCTAACTGTTTGATTTTCTCTTCTACCTTATCGAATATTCTATAAACATCTTCGAATTTCTCATTGTTCTTTCTACAAGTTTCTTCCATTATTTTTATTTCTGTTAAATCTGCTTCTTCTGCTGAATGAAACTGGAATGTCTCTGGGTCATCTCCATTTTTGTTGAGAACATCCTTTAGTCGTTCTTGAAGGATCTTTTTGGACTCGTTGCAGTCTTCATCGCGTTTTTATAGATACTCACGTAACTGTTTTACTGAAAGTTCTACTAGCTGCATCTTTGGTCAGGCACACACGTACTTTACAAATGTTACGATTCGGTTACGATTACAAAAATACTAAAAAAAATTTTAGTTGACTGACGCCTACTCTCAAAATTGATGTATTAATTCAAAATAAAGTCCATCCTTCATATCGGGTTTGATTGTTTTAACTAGCGGCACATATCATAGTGCAAATCAAGTAATATTCAAATACTATAATCCAGAACTGGTTCTATAACTAAAACTTTTTGTGATAACTAGTCCCTGCACATATTTCGCTATAATATACAAAAAAGCGATATAATTATTTAAAGTGCTTTGTAAAATGTAAAACTTACCCTCTCTGAATTCTTCAAGGGTTAATCGATCGTCGTGGTTTCTATCCATCTGGTCGAATATTTTATCTACTCGTTTTTGCGGTGTATTTTCATCTTCTGATGGCTGCTGACCCTAAAAGAGATACAAAAAGGTATTTCCGTCATAAAGCAATAATGATGTAACCGACTTGGCTGTACTGTAAACTCGTGGAGGTAGGTTCTGCGGATATTTATATCGATTGCATTAATCTTTGAATCCAGATGCTAAATAATGCTGACCTCATTTAAGAGGAGACCGAATGAAATATCGGAAACAGGTATAAATTCAGAATACCGTATTATGTGTACGGTTTCATAGGTACACATAAGTTAGGTTAGACTAGGTTAAGTAGGTACACATATAGCTAATAGACGGTTTACATCGTGTTAATATTTTTACTAAATGGACTTTCCTAAATAAGCAATTTAACTCTATTAAATTCAGTTAATACAAAATAATTTGTAAGACTTGGAGTATAATATATTTTCGCTACTATATTATTGTTATTTTTGATGATAAAACCTGAGTCAGTAGAGTTCAGTAGCTGGAATAGAAATATAGAAGGTTCATCGCCAGGGGCTTTATTCTTGAATCGAGAGAAAATTTTACTCCCCACTAAGCCAACTCGCTTTTCTACTCCATCATAATTTCTCTCGATTTTAAAAAGCTGTATTCTTGAATACGGGGAGTAGAAAGGAATGAGAGAAACTATGAACAGTGTTGCCGGGTTTTCAATGAAAATTTTAACCAATCACAAAAGTTAATTATTGACAAAGGACAAGATACTGTCAACCGTCAACCTGATCACTCCCCTTAGTGGTAGGCCAACCTGCGATTTTTGTGTAGCTCTGACAAAATGTGACTTCTCCAGTATTGTCACGGTGACAAAAAGCAGTGATTTTTTGGAGCAGTTTAATCTTAACTGCTACCCTGCTACTATTGCTACCTTTGAATATTCCAAAATATATTTTAAAATTTGTAAAAATTTTCTATCTGACAAAAGAAATGGGTCCATTGGTTGGAGGACATCCCGGCCAATTTGAAGATCTTCAACTGCCTCCAAAACATCATTAAACATAATATAATTCCAGTAGAGCATATGATTGATATCCATCTTTTATTAACTTCCGCTTTTTAAAAAAACAAAATACTTCCCTAGGTTTTTGAAAGGTTATGTATTGTTATTTTCGCTCCCATTTACAATTTCTCTTACCTACTATCAGTAGAAATTGTTATTCCCTTAGGGAGTGACATTTCTCTCACACATTAGGACAGTTTTTTTCAAGAATACAGCATTTTCGGGAGCCACGCCTACTTTTACGTCACTTTCTCTTGCAATTTCTACTCCCTGAAATTCAAGAATAAGGGCACAGAGTGCATAGCCCTCTAATAAGGTAAGTAACATAGAAAGTTTTGGGAGAGAGTTTCTAGAACAAGAAAACCGGAAATACTGAAAGATGCAAATGGAAAACTTGTGTTGAATACTAACAACAAATTAAAAAGATAGACAGAATACATCAACGAACTGTTCAAATACAATAGAACAGAGCAGATGGAGATAGAAGTAGAAGAGGATATGGTTTTAAAGATATTAAGAGAGTAAATTTAAAATGGCATTAAAAAACAGCAAATATAGTAAAGCAGTAGGTCCAGACCAAATCCCCATAGAAATCTTAAAATGCCTAAATGATGAAACCTTAGACATAGTAGACTTATTTAACTCAGTATACAAAACAGGACACATACCGAAACAATGGTTACTCTTCACCTTTTGTGCTATCCCTAAAAATACAAACGCTAAATATTGCAGTGAATAAAGAACAATATCACTAATAAGTCACATTCTCAAATTATTCTTGAAAATATTACATGGTCGTATAAATAAAAAACTGGAAAAATGAATAGATGATAGTAAGTTTGGGTTCAGAAACGGAATAGGAACCAGAGAAGCGTTATTTGCTTTTAATGTTTTAGCTCAAGATGCATGGATATGAATGTCGATGTGCATATTTAGTACAATGATTTTGAAAAAGCATTTGACAAAGTGAGACATTAAAAATTAGTCCAAGTTCTAAAGACAAAAAACATAGACCATAGAAACTTACAAATAACAACAAACCTCTACTAGAATCAAATAGCACAAAACGTAATAGATAACGAACCTAGTCCAATAATTGAAATCAAGAGAGGAGTTAGGCAGGGATATATGTCCCCATTACTATTTAATGTATATAGTAAAGCCATTTTTGAAGAAGCATTACTATCTCAAAGTGAAGGAATATTAATTAACGGAAGAGCTATTAACAACATAGGATATGCAGATGACACCGTCATTATGGTAAATTCTGCTGAACAACTCCAATTACTGCTAAACAAAACAAACAGTTTCTGTAAAAAATATGGACTAAAAATAAATATAAAAAAGACCAAATACATGATAATAACAAAGAGAACAAATATATCAACAAACATACATTTGGGAAATGTACCGATAGAAAGGATTGATAAATACAAATATCTTCTTCTTCTTCTTCTTCCAATGGCGCTACAGCCCAAATTGAGCCTTGGCCTCCTGTAACTTCTGCCTCCAACAAAGGCGATCCCGCGCCACTCGTCTCCAAGCCCTGACGTTCAATAAGTTGTGCGCATCTGCTGTGACTTCGTTCTTCCATCTATTACGTGGTCTTCCCTTCAGTCTTCTGCCCTGCATTTTACCATCCAAGGCCTTTCTAGGCAATCTGTCGGCATCCATCCGTACCACATGACCAGCCCATCGAAGCCTTTGTACTCTAGCGAACTCTGCAATAGGTGCTTCTTTGAACAGTTGGTAGAGTTCATGGTTATATCTAGATCTCCACATCCCATTTTGAGTGATGGATCCAAAGATCTTCCTTAGGATTTTTCTCTCGAAAACCTCTAATCTTCGTTTAGTGCTTTCTGTCAAAACCCATGTCTCGCATCCATAGCATACTATCGGTCTGATGATAGTTTTATAGACCTTAAGTTTCGATTTTCGATGTACCGTCTTGGAGCGGAATATGTTAATCAGGGAAAAATAGGCTTTATTTCCCTTCATTATTCTCTTCTGAATTTCGGCCTCTTCTGTTCCCTCCGTATTCATTTCGACTCCCAGATAAGTAAAACTCTTCACTGTTTCAATGTCATCCTCTACTTTGATTTGATTTCTTGTTCGCTTTGTCCGCGTCTGTGTTAGTATTTTTGTCTTCTGTGTATTTATTTCAAGTCCAATCTCCTTGGCCGTTTTTTTCAGCTGCGAATATGTTTCTGCTGCATCATCCACTCTGCGGGACATGAGGTTAATGTCATCCGCATATGCGGCGAGCTGGACAGATTTGTTTGTTAGGAGATTGGCTCTTCCGACATTCAGCTTTCTGATGACATATTCAAGGGCCAGATTGAACAGTGTTGGAGCTAGTCCGTCACCTTGTTTCAGCCCTTGAACTATTTCGAAGCTGTCAGTTAATTCGTACTGTATGCGTACAGTTGTTATTGTGGAGTCCATCGTTGCTTTTACTAGTCGGATATATTTCGAGGGAATATTGAAGCTTTCCATGATGTTATATAACCGGCTTCTATTTATGGAGTCATAAGCCTGTTTGAAGTCGACAAATATATTGTGAACATCAATATCGTGTTCCCAAGCTTTATTAAGGATTTGCTTTACTGTAAAAAGCTGATCTATTGTCGACCTGCCTTGTCGAAAACCGGTCTGGTATTCGCCGATAATATTTTCACTTAATGGTTGAAGTCGCCTATTCAGGATGGATGTAAAAATTTTGTAGGCCGAACATAGGAGGGTTATGCCGCGGTAATTTTCACATTTAAGTTTGTCCCCTTTTTTGTAGATTGGGCAGATAATCCCATTTTTCCAATCGCTAGGAATTTTTTCTTCCCTCCATACCTTAGATATGAGCGCGTGCACCTGCGTTGTTAGATGTTCGCCACCTAATTTATACAGTTCGGAAGGGACATCGTCAAATCCCGGCGCTTTGTTGTTTCTTTGCGCCTGTATTGCTTGTTTGACTTCTTTAAGAGTCGGGCTGCTTATTTCTTCGTCTCCTTCCTCGATGTGCCGCAAATCCGAAGATCGTGAGCTTCCTTGTGCTCCTAGCAGAGCTTGGAAATGGCTTTTCCAAACTGATTTTATTTGCGTTGGTTCACTAATTATCTTATCTGTTTGGTTTCTGCACAGACTTGTTCGGAGTTTGTATCCTTCTCTTAGTTGTCGAAGATATTTATATGCCTCCCTTAGATCGTTGCTTTGGAGGTTTTGTTCCATTTTCTGTATCTTATTATTTTCCCATTTTCTTTTTTCTCCTCGACATATTTTATCCGCCCTGCGTCGTAGCTCCTCGAAAAATGTTCTTCTTTCTCTGGTTCGCCTTTCCATATATTTCTTGTGAGCTTCATTTCGTTCATGTATGGCCCGTCTACACTCTTCGTTGAACCATTCTGCCCTTTGCTTCTTTACCTTTTTACCGATGGTCTTTGTTGCTGCATTTAATACTTTTGTCTTCATTTGTTTCCAATGTTCTTCAATGTCTAGGTTATCTGTGTTTGTAAGTGTCTGGGTTATTTCTGTCTCGTAGCTCAGTTTAACGTTTTGTTGGCTTAGTTTATCAATGTCCAACTGTCCAACTGTTGGCTTAGTTTACTTCGATTAAGGACCGTAAACCATAGTTGGGTCATATGGACCCGAACAGTACATTTGCATAGTTAACTCGAACGCAACAGCAGAGTTAATAGCACTATTGAAATCGTAAGAAACAATTTGAAGAAATATTGATAATAGAAGCATAATGCTTAAGATATTTTCACAAACTAAGAGTGAAAATTAAGAAACTGATTTTTCTATCGCTGAACTTAACGCAATAGATTTCCCGGGCTTTCGCTGGGGAAATAAAGATTTGCTTTACCAAACAGTGTTTAGAGTTAGATACAATACATCCTGAAGTATTGATTGTTTTAATTAGTTTTGTAATGGTATTTTTGCTTTTAAATATTAAAAAAAAATCATATCAGAAGCAAATTACGACAAATGAAGTTTGTTACATAGTCACCAAACTTTACTATTCAATAAAGATTGTCAAAAACAGCAACTTCTCTATCGCAATTTCACGCCGTTTTATTCTTTTCGCGTTGTCACCGTCATTCGAAATCTTGACGGAAAAGCCAACAATTCATGAAAGGAACTTCAAATGGAACGCGATTGCATTTTTATCCGGGATAGAAAAGTTTCTCTATCTCCAATTCAAACGAGACGAGAGTGGCCTCAGAGTTTACTAGGAAATGAAATCTTTGGAAG